ATGTGAATATTTACATTGAAATAATTTAAAATTAAACTAGTTATAAATTATATTTTTAGACATGCAAAGTTAAAAAAACTTTCAAATGTCACTATATAATGTAAATAAAAGTAGTCAACATAACCTAAAAATAAAAAATTTTAAACCTCAAAATATTTTTATCACTTATTCATTGTAGTTGAAGGATGATATGGATAATTACAATAATAATACAATAATAATTACAATAATAAATAAACACAATAAATCACTTATTTTTACTTAAAAAAAATAAAATAATTTGAAAACAGCGAACGCATATATTAGTAAACACAGATCACACATGGATCATGTAGCAGACGATGCGACAGTAGACACTTATGACGTCACGTCCCAGCACCAATAAAAATCGTTTTCTTTCAGTATAAATAGTTTCAACTTTTAAATAAAAATTTTAATATGTAAAATTTAAAAAAAATTAAAACTTTCAACACTAATATATTTTAAAATACCTATATTTACGATTTTATAAAAAAAAAACGTAACATTTTTTTTATGCAAACTCCCTATTGATTCAATAATTTACACAATAATTCATGCAGTAATTAATACTATAATTTATCTAGTAATTCACTCATTAATTCAGTCCAATAATTCATCCAGTTATTAATTCAGTAATTCTTCCCGTGGTTAATCGAGTAATTCATCCAATAATTCTTCCAGTTAATAATTCAGTAATTCTTCCCGTAGTTAATCGAGTAATTCATCCAATACTTCATCCATTAATTAATTCAGTAATTCAACCATTAATTCATCTAGTAATTAGTTCAGTAATTCAACTATTAATTCATCCAGTAATTCATTCCATAGTTAATCGAGTAATTCATTCATTAATTCATCTAGTAATTTATTCAGCAATTCATCCAGTAATTCATCCAATAATTCATCCAGTTATTAATTCAGTAATTCTTTCCGTAGTTAATCGAGTAATTCATCCAATGATTCATCCAATAATTAACCCAGTAATTAATTCAGTAATTCAATCATTAATTCATCCAGTAGTTCTTCCCGTAGTTAATAGTACAATTCATCCAGTAATTCATTCAGTAATTAATTCAGCAATTCATCCAGTAATTGATCTAGTAATTCATCGAGTATTTCATCCAAATCTAGGAATTCACTACGATATAAAAAGAAAAAGTATAAAAGACATATATTTAGTTTTATAATATATCTAAATTAAAAATAACTAATTTTTCAAAATTAAAATTTTGCAGTGATAAAACATTTTCTTTTTGTATTTTTGAAAGTGGAAGATACTTGAAAAGATATTAAAACTTTTGGATTTTTATCCAATTCAATTTGGATTTTTAAATTTGTAAATCTGAAAAGTGGTGCTAAATCAAAACTTTCTTCGCTTTTTTGAAAGTCGAAAATGACGCTGAGGCTGAAAAGAACGTTATTAAAGAAGCAAATGGAAAAATTTAACTTTATTTTAAAAAAAGATTTAATAATAATAACTATATCGCCGTGCAAGAAAATATACTATTAAGGTCGCATATTGCATACACCACCGGCCCTGTTGAAGCAAGATAACTTGGCAAAAAAAAAAACAAGATATAAAAAAAGAGAAAATAGAAAAGGAACCAACGAAGATAAGAAATAAAATGCATAGTAAGAAGTAGTATTCCACTCATGAATGATGATTTCCTCTTTATCTCGAATGCACCATCTCTGAAAAGAAAGAGCAGGGAACCAGTGGAAAATATCTTGAGCGTAAATAATGACATAAACTACTGGGAAGGAAAAAAATTGTAGACTAAAAATGATAAAGCTATAGTATCGGTTGCATATAAATATATTTGTCTAAACTAAAGTATTGCGAAGGATTGGATTAAAGTTGCGTGTAAATTGTAATATACAAAAAACCGAATGGAGAGTTTCAATTACTTTTTGCATCTAAAGGCAAGTATTACTCTTTTTATTGCCTCTCTCACATGAATGTCTTGGTGAGTTACAGCCTCTTTCATATTAAAAAAAAAATCATCTTTAAATATGTTCCAACATTTATGAAATGTGTACATAAAATATGTCCACATTACTAATTAATGCAGTTACAGTTATTATCATTTCCATAAATGATACGTGATCGATACTTAAAATATCATATAAACGAGTCCTTATCATAGTAAAAATTCTTATTGAAATAAAATGTTTCCTGAACGTATAATTATACCGGGATTTTATGCAAGGCAAACTGGAATTCTTTATGTCGATTTGGTCCATGGAAAACTAGATATTGTATAAGAAAAAGTGGAAAAAAAAGTTTGTTAAAAGAAATAAAAAAAAAAAAAAGCAGAAGGGTAAGCTGGAATAAGCGATGAGAAAACCAGGAAGCGTCACTTCGTAAAACGAGAGCAAAAATACTTTGAGGATAAGCGACGTGGATGTGCATGTTGTTGGTATAACTTCACGATCTACTTGCTAGTTTACACAACTTCCTCGATAGCCGGTTGAATAGTAGGTTCGTCCATGCAATTCAATTTTAAAAATGAAGAAAAAAAAATTGCAAATATCTTTATAAAAATTTTTTTCCCAAATGAGAAGGAATCCATTTCTTGAACGTAGAATATTACGATGAATATAAAAAATTAGTGAAATTTTCTTTCCTTTCTTCATCTATTTAAATTTAAAAAATTTAAATAACAAATTAAATTAAAAATAATTCATATGAAAAAGTCAGTCCCTAATTAAAATTAGTTATAATATTTTCTACTAATTCAGATTTGGAGTATAAATACTGCGAATAGTGTTTAAAAAAATCATTGCGTTTTTATCTACTGACTAAAGTTTTATACAAACCAGTTTTGCTACTCACGAGTATAATGGTATAAGATATCGTAAAGGGGTTTCGACTTGTTAAAACTTCAAGCTTTGTATATATGTAAAGATAAACTAATCAGAGTTCTAGAATTGGAACAGAAATATGACGGTATTTGTCTATTGTTAAGTAACAATGTCCCGCATAATTAAAAAAAACAATTGATAATAAATGACCAAGCCATATACTTAGTAGTATATATATGTGTAAAAGAATTAAAGATAACAATTTTAAATCGAAAATTCTAATTAATTAGAATTTTTAGTATTTTACATTTTTTTTATAATAAATATTATATGATGATTTATTTTTTATCACAACTATTCATTATAAACACTAAAGAAAATATTACAATTTTAGTAAAAATTTCATTATTGTATCACATTTATTTAAAGTAAATTCATAATTTTGTTGTAGAATAAAATAAAATTTTGCAATACTAAAACTTATTCTTTTTCGATTTTTGAAAGTGGAAAATACATTCTTTTTTCACATTATTTTTACTTTTTATGAATATGCGACGAATTCGTTATGCACATTCGACACTTAAATACTCACTGAAATATCTTTTACTTTAAATATTAATAGTTTAATAATTGCAACATAATTTAATACAAATAATATAAAAATTAATTATTTTATAGTTCATTAATTAAATTCAAAAGCATTTTTCATCAATTTTCATTCATATTCCACATTATTTCCACTGATTATGAATGTGCGACGAGTTCGTTGTACATTTAGTGTTTCCCTAATTCTACAGGAGAACTAAAGGTAGCTATACTCTAGCTAAATTTAGCTATTTAGCTGAATCCAATTTCTATGATATGGATAGCAATTTTTTTCATCCAGTGAATTATCTAGTAATTCATCCTCTAGTTAATCCAATAATGCAACCATTAATTCATCCAGTAATTCATTCAGTTATTTATCCAGTAATTTATTCAGTAATTAATCCAGTAATTCATACAATAATTAATCCAGTAGTTAATCCAGTAATTCATCCTGTTGTTAATCCAATAATTCATTCAGTAATTCATCCAATAATTCATCAAGTAATTAATTCATTAATTAATCCAGTAGTAAATCCAGAAATTCATCCTATAATTCATACAGTAATTTCTCTAGTATAATCGAATAATTAATCGAATAATTAATTTAATAATCGTGCCAGTAATTAATTCAGTAATTCATCCAGTAGTTAATTTAATACAAATAATATAAAAATTAATTATTTAATAGTTCATTAATTAAATTCAATTGCATTTTTCATTAATTTTCATTCATATTCCACATTATTTCCACTCATTATGAATGTGCGACGAATTCGTTGCACATTTAGTGTTTCTCTAATTCTACAGGAGAACAAAAGGTAGCTATACTCTAGCTAAATTTAGCTGAATCCAATTTCTATGATATGGATAGCAATTTTTGATAGGCGATACAGATAATAATTAGCTTTCACAACTGAACATGAATCCGTAAACAAAATTGCTCCCATCACTTTAGGATTCCGAAAACGACCTTGAAAATTAAAACTACGGTTTTAGGCTCGGTTTTAGGGTAATTTACGGTTTTTTTTTAATTTCGAAACCAATTTTTTTTTGTTTATTGAACATATGAACTTGACAGCTCATATCTTCCTTAACATTTCCGTAATTCATTTTTTATGTTAGAAGACATGGGCACTTATTAAGATGGCTATAATTTTTATTATGAAATATATAACAAAATTTTTCTCAGTGCACGTTATATTTTACAGCATGTTGAGTAAATAATGAGGATCGATTATCCTATTGCAATGATGATGTGCCTGCAATTAAATGAAAAATCTTCTCTTCCGTGTTTGGATTAGTGATTAGCATTCGGCGTCCACTGAAGATACCTTGGGAACTGAACCCAAGGTCGTAATAAGTTAGTCCTGTTTATACGCTTCCGCTATATTCTGCGTTTACATGTGTATATGTATATAAATACATGTATATGTATATATAAATATATGTGAGCGGGCGTTTGCAGGCGTTCACGCAAAACGGACGAGACGGGAGCGATAGAGACAATGGCAGGTCGTGGCAGGTCGATGTACATAAGAATCTTCCTCCACGACTGTAATTAACCTGCAACGCTTCTCTTGTTACAGATGGGCTCGCACACAATCGGCTTCATCGCTCCAGGGTTCCTCCTTCTAGTATTCTTAACAGGAAGTTTTGCTTTTATGGGTAAGTGCATTGACTTTTCGATTTTCTTTTCCTTTTTTTTTTTAAATGTCAGGACAATGTATTTTGTATTTACAAGAAATTGTAGTTTAGAACTTGCTGTTTAAACGTGACAAAATGTCATGGAAGTTAAAGTGTAAATTATATAGAGGGAAAAACGAATATAATTACAAAATAAAATTTAATTTTTAAAAAAAGTATTTTTAAAAAATACTTCACTTAAGAAAGTAATTTAATATTTAGTAGACTACAAAAAAGTCTATAAAGTTATTTTCTAAAATATATATATATATATATGAGATTCAAGATTCTCTTGATATGCACCCTTAAGAGCAACGTATCGGTAATTGGTTTAGTTCCACGGTAATTATTATTCATACCTCTTTATTCTGAATAATTACATGTCATTATTATTTTGCCGTGCACCATTTAATTTCAATTCTGTATTTTTTTTCGACATTTCCAATCTTTCTTAGAATCTCGTAGATAAAAAAGAAAAATTGAATAGATTTTTGTTCACAAAAGTATAGACAAGACCCCATATTAAATTGATAAAAAATGATTGATTTTATATCACAATAATTTTATTTTAAACTGCTACGTCCTAATTTTAATGATTATTTATTTAAATTTTTCCTAATCTATTAACTTATAATCAATCTTCGGATGGTACCAGCTAGCAAAGGCAGATTTTTACAAATATTTGTTTATTTACAAATACTTGTTTAATTATAAGCAATCATATATTATCTAACATATTTATTTATTTCTTTAATTAAAAATAATATTCCACATTACATTTGTTTAAAAATTATTTATTTATTATTAAATAAATCACGGTGACGTTACAAAACATTATTTAAATTTTTGTTTACTCAATTTTAATAAACATTTTGCGTATCAATTGTATATTAACTAATTGAAAATGAATAAAGTTTTTTGATCATTTTAATAAAACATTAAAATTCATTATTTAAAAATATAAAAAAAAATTTATAAATTTTTCATTACATTGTTTGTGTAATAAAATGAATGATTTTTTTTTATTATTGGTTTATTATTAACTGGTATTAAAGAACAAATGATGGATGCCAATCATATAGTCAATGTCGTGATCATCCCATAAGATTTTCCCATACATGGGCCATCAATAGTTAACAATAATAATGCACCAAGATAAAGACCATTGAGTTCCAAGGTTGGTCCATTAATACTCCAATGGTAATCATTGGCAATTTACCATTGGAAATAAATTCAGTAAACATGCTACGTGACATCACGAACGGAATGAACTTCTCTCCTTTTCCCTTTGATGCATGACATCATATCTTTCCTTTTTTAGAAACTGCAAAAAAAAACAATTTTTTTTTATAATTTACTTTTATTGTTATCTTATACTTATTTTTACATGTAATTGAAAAAATACTCTTGGCTATCTAATCAAATTATTTTCAAAAAATATAAACATGACACACAAAGGAGAATAGAATTCTGTTTAAAAACGCGCTTTGCAATAAATTAAATAATGCAAGTGCTTCTAATAGAAAAAAATCATTGAGAGTTTTATTAATTACAACATTTCTCTATTTAACTACATGCAACCCGATATGTAAATACTTCAATTATCTTTAAATACAAAAAATTGAATTTTTTTATAATATTACAAAAAAAAGTATTTTATAATTACAATTGTTTATTTTATTAATAAAAATCAATAATGTATAGAATTTACTGTTAAATGTTTTTCATTTTCATTTTCTCGTTCTTAAAGCTAAAAAACTACTGAATTTCCAGTAATTCATCTCGTAGTTAACCGAGTGATTCATCCAGTAATTAATTCAGAAATTCATCCAGTAATTCATACAATAATTAATTCAGTAGTTAATCCAGTAATTCATCCTATTGTTAATCCAATAATTCATTCAGTAATTCATCCAATATTTCATCAAGTTATCCATTCAATTATTCATCCTGTAGTAAATCGAGTAATCACCCTGCAATTAATCCAGTAATTAATTCATTAATTAATCCAGTAGTAAATCCAGAAATTCATCCAGTAATTTCTCTAGTATAATTCAACCCGTATTTAATCGAATAATTAATTTAATAATCGTGCCAGTAATTCATTCAGTAATTCATCCAGTAATTCATCCAGTAGTTAATCCAATAATTCATTCAGTAATTTATCCAATTATTCATACAGTAATTCATACAGTTATTCATACAGTAATTAATTCAGTAATTCATCCTGTAGTTAATCGAGTAATTAATCCAGTAATTCATCCTGCAATGAATTCAGTAATTTATTCATTAATTCATCCAGTAATTCAGTCAGTAATTCATCCAATAATTACTTTAGTAATTTATACAATAATTCATGCAGTGATTCATACTATAATTCATCTAGTAATTCATTCAATAATTCGGCCAGTAATTAATTAAGTATTTCATCCAGTAATTCTTCCAGTAATTAATTCAATAACTCATCCAGTAATTAATTCAGTAATTCATCCTGCAATGAATTCAGTAATTCATTCAGTAATTCATCCAATAATTACTTTAGTAGTTTATACAATAATTCATGCAGTGATTCATACTATTATTTATCTAGTAATTCACTCATTAACTATTCCAGTAGTTAATCTAGTAGTTAATCCAGAAATTCATCCAGTAATTTACCTGGTAATTTATCCCGTATTTAATCGAGTAATTCATTCAATAATTCAGCTAGTAATTAATTAAGTAATTCATCCAGTAATTCTTCCAGTAATTAATTCAGTAATTCATCCAGTAATTAATTCAGTAATTCATACAATAATTCATCCAGTAATTAATTCAGTAATTCATCTAGTAATTCAACCATTAATTCATCCAGTAATTCTTCCCATAGTTAATCGAGTAATTCATTCAATAATTCATCTAGTAATTAATTTAATAATTCATCCAGTAATTTATCCAGTAATTCATTCAGTAATTAATTCAGTAATTAATTCAGTAATTAATTCAGTAATTAATTCAGTAATTCCAACCATTAATGTATCCAGTAATTCTACCCGTAGTTAATCGAGTAATTCATCCAGTAATTTATCCAGTAATTCATTCAGTAATTAATTCAGTAATTCCAACCATTAATTTATCCAGTAATTCTACCCGTAGTTAATCGATTAATTCATCCAGTAATTTATTCAGTAATTCAGCCAGTAATTCATCTAGTAATTCATCGAGTATTTCATCCAAATCTAATAATTCTTTTTAATAATGGCTTTTCCACAAAACCTTAGTTTAATTCAATTAATATTTTAAGAATAAATTTCCCGAAAATATTAACATTGTGGACCTAACAATCACATGTTGTTACGAGAAACTTCTTAGGCATAATCATACCAAAAGCAATCTTCTTACCACAAGGCCGACTAGTTTATTTCGGTTTTTGTTATGAAATTGCGATGAAGCTAAACTGATCGTGTGGAACGTACTATCCGTTGTTTCCCTGCTGCACATTGCTGCATCAAAACAAAGAAGCCTATGGAAAAATCAATGTAGAGACCACAAATTTTAAACATTTCTTATGTTTCATTTTTTTACACTAAATAATAACAAAAATTCATCGGAAGACTGCTTTTTTTTGTTTATTCAAAATCAGTCACGTTTCATTGTTCGCATATAAAATATGGAATTTAAAAATAATCTACTTTCCAGTATACTAAACAAAGTCGTATTTTACAAAATGTTGTGTAAAGTTTTTCTTTTTATAACAGTGCGCATAAAATAAATTATTGTACACATTGCTGTGACTGCGAAGTAAGTGCGTAAAGTGATTTACATTATGCACTGTTATGATATAGCTCAAGAAGTTAATGAAAAAGTAAGAGAGAGACAGAACCTTTCATAGAAAGAAAGCAACAAAGAGATCAATATAGAGTGAGAAAGAAAAAGAGATTCACGCCTGAAGGTGTGTTTGGAATAACGTACAATCTAACAAAGACTCAACGAATGGAGCACATACATCTTCAGTAAAATAATTTTTTTTTTACTAAAGATGTAAATGCTTCATAAGAAATTCCGAATTTGTGTGAAAATGAATATCAAAATGTATTGTTAGTTTAAATAAAATTTAAAAAGTATATATACATAACAAAATTTTATAATGAATTAAAAATGAATGCTGAAACCTAAATTGAGTACATTAAAAAATTAAACATAAATTTTTTCTAATTTTTGTTCACTTTAATTAATTATTAGGAAAATTATTTTTATTGATAAAAGGTGCTAAATTAAAGAAGTAAATTTATAATAAAGAGATATTAATTTTATTTTATATCACTACAAGTATACTGTGTGTATATTCGCAAGAAGGTCGACATTCAACTAACTAAACTTAATACAGTCCTTACATTCAAACTCACAATTACTGTTACCAAAACAAATATACAATAATTATATTGCCAACCTTATATCCTTCAACATTTATTTTAAAAAATATCGTTACTTATACTTACGAAAAGTTATTCCACTTCCTCTACACAAATCACAATAGGAACACAATAAAACCATTTTATTTACACATAAAATATAGGCAATTTTACAAATAAATAAAAAAACACTTGACAACAGAAAACCACGATCGATCGAGATCAATTTCGGTTGATCACAGCGAATACACTGATACACTGTCACTAACCACCTGACTTGCGCGCCACAATTTTGTACTTATACTACAATCCAAGATGGCCGCTATGTCTCACATTCCTCCCAGCATTGCCTATCCATAGGGCAAAAATTTACAAGGCAATTTAATAATTTCAAACTTTAAGAATAATACAAATTTCTTAATAATAATTTATTAATAAAATTAATAATATATGTTTACAGTAAAAACGGCATTTGAGAAACTGACTGATTACGACTATAGGGGAACGACGTATTACAGTGTTCGAAATTTGACTCTTTATGAATGTCAAGGATGGTGCAGAGAAGAAGCGGCATGTCAAGCAGTGGCATTCTCCTTTGTTGTTAATCCTTTGGCACCCATTCAAGAAACACTTTGCGAATTGCAAAATGAAACTGCAGCATCGAATCCTTCCGCTCAACCTCAGAAAGCTGTAAATATGTATTACATGACAAAACTTCAAATTAAATCTGGTAAGCAATAATTTTTTATAACTTAGTCCAAAAATGTTCATTTAATTGAAATTTTCTTATTCAAAAAATTTAGATTTCTACAAAAATTTCTTTTTGTAGAACGGAATCTAAATCAACAGAATAAATGCAAAAAGATGCTTATAAATTCCTATTACATGAATCACAACTTCTTATCGTCATAAATTTTAAATCTTTATCTGCATTATAATTTGAATAAAATATATATAATTTATTACCATGGAATGTAAATAAATTCTTAATAGATATAAAGTATTTTAATATTAATTTTTATATTTTAATTTGAACAACATTTTTAAATAAATTAGTTTTGCAATTGAGTTATTGCAATTTTATAAAGAAAAATACAAATAACAAAAGTTGATAAAGATATAAATTTTTTGAATTACCGAAAATAAATTTTTGGTTTATTTTTTAGAAAAAGTTTGTAAGAGACCATGGGCCTTTGAACGTGTGACGAATAAAATGATAAGAGGCTTCGACAATGCTCTAATTTATGTCTCAACAAAAGAAGGATGTCTGGCAAATTGTTTAAACGAAAATCGTTTTACTTGTCGATCCGTTGAATACAATTATGCCACTCTACAGTGCCAATTAAGCGATTCAGATAGAAGAACCATTGGTCACATTGCACAATTTGTCGATTCACCAGGAATTGACTATTTTGAAAATCTTTGCCTTAAAGGTAAATATAAAAATAATTATTTATTGTAAAGTAGAGTAAATTAATTTAAGATTAATAGATAAATAATAAGCGAAGACATTTCGTTGCAAGGATTCTTTTATCCGTTTTCGAAATATCGTAGGTAAAACTTCTGGACTATTTCCGAATTAATCTGGAATTAGTTTTAAATAGTCTGGTTTATTGTCAGGTTTTTGTTATCCGGAATTAGTCCAGCTAAATCTAAAATTTGTGTAACTAGTGAATTTGGAATTAATCAGGTCTAATCCGAAGTCAATTCCTATTAGTACAATCAAAATGGAGATTTTAGATTTACTGACTGTACTAGCCGGATTGATTTTGGATTCAATAGAAGTAATTTTGCATTTATTAGTTGTTCCGATTAATTTCGCATTATACCAGATTTACTAGTCATATAAATATCACTAATTTCGGACTTAACTGGAGTAATTCCGAATAATAGAAACACAACTTCCGTTCTGAAGATTCCGCTCCCTGCGATGTGGTTGATGTTCGCTTTATCGCCATAGTTTTCTCTACATAAAAAGCTGCTTGGGCTTCTACTGCATTTTGCAAACTTATGGTCAACTTCACTGGATTTAAAGCACGCAGTTAATCTGTCCGCTGCCTTACAAACTCTTCCTATGTGGCCGTACGCCAGGCAGCGATGACACTGAATCACCATTTTATTGGGCACTCCAGTGTGACTTGTCGATCCACGGTCTGCACCTTCCTCATGCTTCCAACCGCTTTGGTGACCTCAGCGATGAATGCCTCCTTATTGGAGTCTTCTCTGATTTTGATCAGGAGATCTCCCCTTTTTGCAGGCCTTGCGCCAACGATCTGCGTTTGGCTGACGTCCGGATCACCATTATAGATCCACTCAGGCTGTGTGGACATCGGAGGACGAATAATTCCAACGTTGCCCTTTGCGTGTCGTAAAAGGAGACTAATAAGGAAAAAGAAGCGGCCAGGTTTTAGATAGAATCCTCAAACTGGTACTGGCACCTGATTCTAATGGTATCACGAAGATCAGGTGTCCCGGGAAGCTTTCCTTACTTGAGTGAAGAAAGAGTCCCGCCTAGTCATTAGGTTTTAGACTCGTGGTGGCAGTGGTTAAAAGCTCACCTCGCTTAGAGCTAGACAATGAAAAAGAAACCAACCAATCAAATTTCTTTAAAACTGTCGAAGTGTGAGTTACGGTATAACAACTTGGGCAAGAATCTGCATAGTTCCTAGAGACTGGAAAATTTCCGTCCAAAGTCGAGGGTCCGTAGTGTTCTATATAAATCAACGGAGAAAGGACCGCTTTAAATTAAAGCACGATCTGTTCGCTGCCTTACAAACTCTCCCTATGTGGTCGTACACTAGGCGTTTAACGATTGTTAAACGACGATATACAGTGAGAGTCACGAATCAATTTGCGAATTTCTGAAAATAAGAGATAAGTTGAACATGGACTACAGTCCATATGAGTCATACCGTTGGTAAGCTGGTACAACGGAGCCCATCTAACCTCTTTTTAATAGATCTTTCAGACTGTAACGCAATTCCAGCTGTAGATCAACTCGTCGCATTCTTCTTACTGGTTTGTTTAGGATTCGGAGTTGCCGTCACCTTCGTAATCTTTTCGACGAGTGGTGCCTTTTTTTCCTTTGCCTCGGCTTCATTCCTTTCCGGACTGCCAGAGCTTTTTCTTCGTTTCTACGCCTCTATGACTGGGCGCTGAAGTCGCCTATCATGGATACGCTCTCTTTACCTGTTTCACTCTTGCGGGTTTACCTTCACATTGCCTGTAGTATCACCAAGGTTGCTATCTCCATTATCTGCTAGGGCGTGCTTTGTTTTTGCCTGACTGACAAGATCCTGAAGAGTCTTATGTCCATCCTTAATAATCATGTTGACATTCTTCTGGATTTCGCAAGACTTTACCATCTTGGCGACCTCCTCTTCAATCTTTTGAAAACCCTCAGCTTTTCTTGATCTAACTAAAATCAAATTTTTACAGATTAATTGTGGATTTATTTCATGTCAATTTCGAACTATTCCGTACTGATCTCCGATTTATTTTTTCCTCCAGACTAAATGCTAATCAATACGGATCATTCTCGGATTATTTTCGTCTAATTTCTCAACAAATTCAGATTGATCTTTCTGTATTTAATTTGAAATCAGTCCTAAATTTTTATTTATTTGTGACGCTCCACGAGAGAAGGGACCTATCTCCGAAATAATATTACTCTTAGTTTACATGTACGGTGCACGGAAAACTGAGCCTAATGTTATTTCGGGGATAGGTCCCTTCTCTCGTGGAGCGTCACATTTATTATTATAATTTTTTAAAGACTTGATTAATTTAAGAGTAATTAAATGATAAAAAATTATTTTAATAGGAAAAGAAGCGTGTAAGACGAAAAAGAAGTTTGTATCACCAAAAATTGGAGTAAGTGAAGATAAAATCAATCAATACGCTGGTTTAAATTATTATTCGGACAAGGAGCATCTAGTACAAAATGAATCGGCTTGCAAACTTGCTTGCGAAATAGAAACAGAATTTCTCTGCAGATCATATCTTTATCGAGGAGCACCTTTATCGAGCAACACCTATAATTGTCAACTTTTTCATTTGGATCATTGGACACTTCCTGATGGACCCAACACATATTTAAATGCCGAAAGACCTTTAATCGATAATGGAGATCGTATTGGCTCTTACTATGAAAACTATTGTGAAAGTAAGTATTGTACATACAAGAAGTTATTAACGCGATTTTATTTTTATAAAAAATATAATAATTTTTGTGCCAATTCGTTGCATCAGAAATATATTTAAAAAATTTATATCACTTAAAATTTTGTTGAATTAGAATTCCTGTTTTCAGTAAAAAGTTGTGTAAAGTGTTAATTACAATTTTAATCATCACAAATTGGCAAAAAAAATTACTTTTTTTGAAGAAACAAAATTGCTAACTAATATATATTTACTATTCATGTCTCTGCAAACACTTACCTCTCTAGTTACATATATATATAATTCTACTTTCTTCTTTACGGTGTATTATTATCTTTTACTACTATAGTTTATATGTTTTCTTAGAAGAACCAGTTCCTTCCATCACCACCACTGAAGATCCTTTCGGAAATTCTGGATTCAAGAATGATCTTCCAAAGGAACAAGCAAATTGCGATAAGACCGGAACATGCTACGATGGTAAGATATATTCGAGTCAATATTGATTTTGTTTTTGAAAATTGTTCAAATTTTTAACAAAATAAATAATTTTTTCTTAGTATCTGTGGACTGTAAAGACACACGTATTGCTGTTCAAGTTAAAACAAATAAGCCATTTAATGGACGCATTTATGCTTTGGGTCGTTCTGAAACTTGCAATAACGACATCATAAACAGCGATCTTTTCAGACTGGACTTAACAATGAGTGGTCAAGATTGTAATACGCAGAGTGTGGTAAGTATCTGTAATTAAATGAAGAAATATTGCCAAAATTGTATTAAGGGATCATTTCAAATCATTCCATAATAGAAGATGATATTTTGGGACGAAGAACTTATTAACAGTAATTCTTCTTGAAATATTAAAAATTTATTTATCTATGCAGGGGAAAAAAATTTGATTACAAAAAAAATTTCAAAAAAAAAATTTCATTTGAAAATTTTTTTTTGAAAATTCTGTAAAATTTACGCAAACTCTCCATGTGGTTTCCACTCCTACAAAATATTGAACGCCGAATAGATGTAAATAATTCCATGGTACAATTTTCCATGGGAAATTTTTTTTTTAATTTTACGGATTTTTAACCATTGCTGAAATCTTGGAAACCATGGGAAAATTAATTTTTTAATTTTACTAATTTTTGACCATTGCTAAAAACTTGCCAACAATGGGAAAATTAATTTTTTAAATTTACAGTTTTTGGACCATATTGCTAATAAATCTTGCCAACCGATGGAAAAAAAAATTTTTTTTTTGATTTTGAACTATTGATAAAATCTTGCGAGCCATGGGAAATTTTTTTTTTAAATTTACGGTTTTTAAACCATTGCTAAAATCTTAAAAACCATGGGAAAAAAGTTTTATAATTTTTTTGATTTTAAACCATTGCTAAAATCTTGCGAACCATGGGAAATTTTTTTTCTATTTTATGGATTTTGGAGCATGGTTAAAAACTTGCGAACCATTAAGAATTTTTTAAAATTAATTTTTCATATTTCGCATGATTTTTGCAATGGTCCAAAATCCGTAAAAACCCTAATAACACAAAATATCTTGGGATATATTGATAATATCCCGCAGATATCCTAGGGATGTCCTATGGATATCAAAAGGATCTCTTAAGGATATCCAAAAAATCGGCGGTTTGGATATCCATTGGATATCCCATGAATATCAGAGGATATCCACAGGATATCTTCTGGATATCTCTATAGACTTTCATAAATTTAAAAATATATGTTGAGATATTAAATATCCCGTAAATATCATAAGAATATCCCACGGACATTTTGAGGATATCCCATGGATATCCTGCGATATAATATCCAATAGATATTTTGTGGATGTCTTAGGGATATCCTGTGAATATCCTATGGATGTCCTGTTTATGTCCCACAGACCGGCGGTTTGGATATCCTAAGGATATCCCAAAATATCCTAGGGATATCCCAAGATATCCTGGGGACCATTCTAGGATATCGACCATTGATATGGATATCCTATGGATATCCTAAATATATCCTACGAATATCCTAAGGATATCCTATGGATATCCCAAGATATCATGGGGACCATTCTAGGATATCGACCATTGATATGGATATCCTAGGGATATCCTTTTGTTATGAGGGAAAGAAAAAAAAAATTTCCCATTATTTTCAAGATTTTAGCAATGGCCCAAAATTAGTAAAATTAAAAAATTAATTTTCCCATGGTTTCCAAGATTTTAGCAATGGTTAAAAATCCGTAAAATTAAAAAAAAATTCCTATGGGAAATTGTACCATGGGAAACATGGTTTTTGAGATTTTTGCCAAGGTTTAAACCATTTCCACGTGGGATATTATGTTAAATGCAAGTCAATATTTTCTAATGTTAAATTAGAATATATATTATTTTATGTCGGTTACCGTTTAACAAAAAAAATTCTACTATTTCAGGCGCACTTATTTGCATGGAATAATCACACTGCACTAAAAATTTAATATGTAAATAAATTCACAGCTTTGCACCCATAAAAAAAATTCATTATGGGAAACATGAATAAATTTTAAAAATCAATTGTTAGAATTTTCATTTAATTGAATTTCATTAGATATAATTTTTTCTTTAAGTCGAATTTCATTTGTTTCGAATTGATATTGTGCAGAATTTTTCATAAAACCTATTTTCTATATTTCTTACGTCTCAAAAAATAGAGAAATAATTCGAATAATTAAAAATTCTGTAAAGCGAATTTTTAAGCGAATATAAAATTTTTTTAATATAGAAAATCGGTTTAATGAAAATTCTGCTAAAATAATAAATCGAAAAAAATGAGATTCGGCTTAATGAAAATTATATTTAATAAAAATATATTAAATGAATATTCTAACAATTTATTTTTATGAATTTATTTATGCGTTCCGAAAAAAATGTATTTGAATTTTTAGAAAATAATTAATAATAATTATGAAATTTTAGCGAATTTTTTTCGATAATTGTAAAATATTTAACGATTTTATAGAAAATATGCTAAAAAGCAAAAATTTTATATAAAATTATTTTTTTATATTAATATTTATTATAAAATGTTTAATAGTAAAAGATCTAGCAAATTTAGTTATTTTTACTTTTAAAATAAATTTATTCAAACTATCGTTTTCTATATTTTAAATATTCAGTTATATTTAATTAAAAATCGTAAAAAGAAATTAATTTTTGAAAATTTATTTTTTTTTTTGAAAAAATAGCTAAATTAGGTTTGATATAAACAATTATTGGTAACAATTACTAAAATTTGAATTAATTATTGAATTTTAAAATTAATTCTTGGTTACTTTATTTGCATTTGAAAAATTGTTTATGTAAAATAAAACTCGTATAATAAACCGTTACCTAGTTCTAAAAAAAAAAATTTTAATTAAAATTTTATTAGTTTTTTTTATTGTATATTTTTATTAAAATTCATTGATATAGAATACTATATTTTACAAGTTGAGTATTTTAATTAAAAATAGGTAGTAATTGACGTTATCAACAAGACGACATCTATTAGATGCCGTTTGAACTCTTTGATTTAAGCTCTTTCATGATAATTGCCAGAGTTCTTTCAAATGCACGATTTCCTTCTTTAACAATTTATTTTTTCAGAACGCAAATTAATTTCAATTTTGATAATTATTTATTGATAAATTCATTGAGATGTAATTATTTCTAATTATCATGAAAAAAAAGTTTTTACCAATAGAGTTCAAATGGTATCTAATAGATGACGTCTTGCTGATAATGTCAATTACTACTTATTTCTATCTATTTTTTGTCGTCTTACCTTATAAATTTTATTTAAAAAACTTAGTTTTCCTATAAAAAGAGTAAAGGAAATATCCATATTAATTATAATTCAATTATTTTCAAGTTCTGAATTTTATATTTTTTAAATTTAGTATAGTTTTTACAAGTTAAATATTTTACAATTTATTAACATTTCGAAACTATTTTATCTTACAAGGATTAATTTTAATTTATTCTTTTTTTAAGGAACTACAAAAGAATAATTCTTAAATAGGTTTTGCACATTACATATCTGCACTGTAGACTTTAATTTCTCAAAATTGTTTTTTTTTATAATGAAACCAAATTTATATTACTTTTTTGACTATATAATTGATTAAAAATTTTTTAAACTAAATTGTTTATTTAGATAATATTTTTAATGAATTTTTATAAAACAACTAATTCTGAGATTTTTTGGGGGGGCTAATCACGATTTCGAATTCAGTTTTTTAAAATCCAATATGGCGCCTGAAAGTTAACTATTTGGACAATTTGTAAAACTTATTATTTCAGCCAACGCTCATTTCACTGTGAATTCACTGGTTCTCGTCCGATCACCAAAGTTAAGCACAATTGAGCGCGGTTAGTACTTGGATGGGTGACCGCTTGGGAATACCGCGTAGTGTTGGCTTCCTTTTTTTTTTTTTTAATTTTTATAATTTAAAATTTTACAAAATAATTTTTTAAAACTGATTTCGAATTCGTGATCAGCGACCCCAAAAAAACCCCGCGAGTTCAAATCCAATTTATCAAGAATTTTTTTTTTTTTTTTAATTCAATTTATAAATATTCGACATTGGTTTTCGTATTAGTTTTTTTCCGTACTGTATTATTTAATATGTATATTTGGGGATGCACCAATTTATATTTCTTAATGCCTTCACGGTGACAGTTGGTTTAAAGTTTAACATTTTTAAGCTGCCTGTTGACCTGCAGCGTGACGGTTTTCAGACTGGTATTTACTCCAATACGGTTGTATTGCAACATCATTCGGTGGTAATGACCAAGGCTGACAAAATTTATAAAGTCAAATGTACTTACGACATGTCTTCAAAGAATATTACCTTCGGGATGATGCCAATTAGAGATCCAGAGATGATAAGCATTACCAGTGCACCTGAGGCACCACCTCCAAGGATAAGAATCCTCGACAGCAGATCACGAGAAGTTGAAACTGTTCGTATTGGTGATAAACTTACATTCAGAATTGAAATCCCAGAAGATAGTAAGTATTTTCACTAATTTATTTAAATAATATTTCTCTTTTCAATTTGAATGTAGTTTTAAAAAGAAATTTCTTCCCTTTATTTCAGCTCCTTATGGAATTTTCGCTCGAAGCTGTGTTGCAATGGCTAAAGACTCAAAAAGTACTTTCCAAATTATTGACGACGAGGGGTTAGTAATTATTGTTCGTAAAAGTGCGTCTATGTGTTTAAAATGAATAAATTAATGAAATCAAATGATTTTTATCAGGTGCCCATTGGATTCTTCAATTTTCCCAAGCTTCACACATGACGGAAATGCTCTGCAATCAGTTTACGAGGCATTCAGGTTTACTGAATCCTATGGTGTAATCTTCCAATGCAACGTCAAATACTGTCTCGGACCATGTGAACCGGTAATTATAAATTATATAACAATCTTTAAGACATTTATGCAGAATAGAGAATTTAAATTTTATGTAAAGAACACAGAAAAATTAAAAGGTATTAAAATAAGTTGCAACGCTTATTATTTTAATCCATTTTGGTATTAAAATAAGCAAAATTGGATTAAAATAATAAGCGTTGCTGCTTATTTTAATGCCTTTTAATTTTCTGTGAATATAATTTGTAAAAAGAACATAATCACATTTGGGGAGTTATAATAAATGCTTCATCTTATAAAGTAAAAATTTAAGTTTTCAATTTTCAGATTAAAAAGATCTAATCGTAAAAAGAATGTAAAAATTACTTTACTGAAGGAGAAACAATTGTCAGGGGCTATCTAACGATTTCTACCAATACGATTAATTTTCCAAGAGTGCGGTATCAAAAACAAATCGTAATTCGAGTTTCATATTCTTATTAGATATGTGCATTACAATATGCAATCCACATGACAGTTTGAAAGATTAAACAATAGAGATGATTCGTCTAAAAATTAATTAATTTAGGATATAATTAATCCCTTAACTGACATGGCAAAGATTTGTCGGCCAAAATCTTTGCCACCGGCAGTTAAAGATTTAATTTATTTTAATTAATTAACTACTAGGGAGCTTTCAGAGATAAATCTATTAATTTTTTATGAAAGAGTAATAATTTAATAATTTATAATCAAATTATGATTAATCATTTAAAGTTGATTTATTTACAAACTAAAAATGTTAATTTAAATATGTGACGCTCCACGATGAAAGGGACTTTAAGTCAAGAGCAGATAAGGTCCCTTTCACCGTGGAGCGTCACATATTAATTATTAATTAATTATAATTAATTATTATAATTATAATTATTATAATTAATTTAATTAGTTTTCATATAAGAAATATTTTAGTTATTAATAGTTTAGATTAAAAATTAAGATTTCTGTAATTCTAAAACAACGCGAATAATTTTCTGGTGATATAAATCATATCTATTATTTTTTGTATTTTTATCTTCAAATATTGATAGAAAGTGAATTTTATATTTCATTCAGATTAAATAATAAAATCCACAAATAATTTATTTAACTAATAAAAACTGTATCGTCAAATTATAAATAATCGTTTAAACAAGTAGGGGAATTTTAAAAATATAATAACAAAAAGCAAACAAACTAAATAATTATTGCAAAAGTTCCTCTAATTTAGTTTAAAAAGTGAGAAATAAAATCAAAGATATTTAGATAAATATTGAGTAAGAAATAAAATAAAATAAATAAGAAATTTGATTACATTCGCAAATTTCCATTATAATCTGACAATCTTATCTGATGTTATTATAGTTAGCACCTGATTATTTATTCAATAATTTAATCCAGAAATGTCTCTTTAAATTTAGACAATATAGCTTTTATTTCTTTTGTTCCTAAATGTATGTTATGCGGGTGATAATTATCTAAATATTTATGTTTACGCGGTCATTCAACCACTTGTTTGAACTCATTTGCAACTCATTTGCTTCTCAGAATCGATGTGTAATCAGAAATTTATAAAATAGAAATAGATATACTAGAATATTTAATTAATTAAATTCTCATGTTGCGTTGCCAGGTATTTTGATTATATCATAAAAAAAGGAAATATTTTTAGATAATAATTTAATTTCAATGGAGGGTAAAAAAAATAAAAACAAATTTAAGTTATTTTTGTCAAGTTGCGACGTTTCAATGGTTTGGTTTACCGCATCTTGCGCTTCGAGGTGCATGAATTTTCTCCGCAAATTTCAAATGGCCTAACACTTAATTGACCTAAATTCATTTGGCCTAAAAGTCATATGGACTAACTATTATTTGGCCTAATCTGTATATCATCTAATTCTTATTTGGCCTAATCTTCCTTCAATCTAACCCTCATTTGTACTAATCGTCATTTGTCCTATATTCTCATTTGGCCTAATCTTAATAAATAACCTAATTCTTATTTAACATAATATTTATCTGCCCTAAATCTCATTTAGCCTAAATTTTCTGTAACCCAATACTTTTTAGCCTTTTTTTTAATCTAACCTAATTATTTCTTGGCCTAAACAAAATTTACCATAATTATCATTAGAAATCATTTTCATCTGGCCTAATTATCATTTGGTCTAAACGCCGCCTTAAACCTAATTCTCATTTGGCCTAATCATACTATAACCTAATTATTATTTGTTCTAATGTTTATCTAACCTAATTCTTATTTAAAATTTTTGGAGAAAATTCAGCGCTTTGTTTGACCAATATAATTCGCAGGGCAATTTTTACAATTAAATTTGTAAACAATATAGTCGCACTTCTCGGTTTGATCTTTATCAAGTTTTACAATAGATTTAACCCTCACAGCACTAGATATCCTAGGATATTCCAAAAACATCCCTTGGATATCCTAGGGATACACCAGGGATATCCTAAGGATACTTTAAGGATATCCAAAGTAGCGGCGGTTAGGATATCCTAGGGATATCTAAGGATGTCCCTAGGTCGTCCCAGGGATATCCTAATCATTTTCCCGGATATCTAAGGATGTCCCTAGGACGTCCCAGGGATATCCTAATCATTTTCCCGGATATTATTAGGATATCCTGTGGATATCCTTAGAACGTCCCAAGGATATCCTCAGGACGTCCTAAGGATATCCCTGGAATAATTAGGGATGTCCTTAGAACGTCCCAAGGATATCCTCAGGACGTCCTAAGGATATCCCTGGAATAATTAGGGATGTCCTTAGAACGTCCCAAGGATATCCTCAGGACGTCCTAAGGATATCCCTGGAATAATTAGGGATGTCCTTAGAACGTCCCAAGGATATCCTCAGGACGTCCTAAGGATATCCCTGGAATAATTAGGGATGTCCTTAGGACGTCCTAAGGATATCCACAGTATGTCTATATTATCTTATGGGTTAGAATATCCTTGAGTCGTTCTAAAAATGTCCCTAAGGTATCCATAAAACGACCCTAACATACAAATTAATTAAATAAAAATGGAAAACATTTTTTTTTATGTATTTATAATGTATTTCCAAGATATCTAAAATGATTTACCTTGTCTACACAAGAATTCTTTTTTCTACTTTTTCTTTAAAAAATCTCTTGAAACCAACTCAAGCGCTAACTATGAAACACTTGCTCAACTTTATACATATTTTATGTTATTTGGCACAAATCTAGCCCACTGCTCCATGTGGGCAAACAGCCGAGTTGTTCTAGATCTTAGCGATATTTCTAGAATATTTTAACGTTATACCAAGTTTATCCCAAGAATATCCCCACGATATCACTAGGATATCCCTGGAATATCCCAGGGATATCCCTAGAATATTCTCAGGATATCCCTGGAATATCCCAGGGATATCCCTAGAATATCCTCAGGATATCCCTAAAATATCCTCAGGATATCCCCAGGATATCCCAAAAATATCCTACGTAACGGCAGTTTGGATATTCTGAGGATATCCTAGGATATCCTATGAACGTTTTCAGGATATCCTACATTAGTTTAGGATATCCTCAGGATATCCTTTTGTTGTGAGGGAAGATTTGTATTATAACAATCGCGGAATTGAATGAATATCTTCTAAAACAATTAAGATTACTTAAATATCAAATTTTAGAAAAAGTTTATAATGAAATCATTGATTTTATTTTATATTCCAGGCAATGTGTGAATGGGGACGTGATTCTGTGGAGTCTTGGGGCAAAAGACGTAGAAGGAGTGTTGTAAATTCCACTGAAGAAAAGTCGGAAGACATGACTCTTTCACAGGAAATTCTTGTATTAGACTTTGGTGATGAGAAACAAACTGACTTCCTGAAGAATGACGCCAGCATAGATTTCAATGAATTGGGTAATTTTTATTTCTGAACTATATATACGTTAAAATATTAACATTTTACTGTTTCTATTTAAGAAATTTTGAGAAAATGAAATGAAAATAAAATAAATGAATGTATAACTAAATAAATATTTTCTTTGTTTCTGATTTTGCAGACAAAACCATAACAATTGAACGACCATGCCCAACGGCCGGCTCACTTTTGGCAATGCGAGTAACGTGCGCTCTTTTAATTCTCATTTACATCTCCACAATCTTCTGTTATTACATGAAGAAATGGCTGACACCTCGCAAAATGATGCCTTAAAAAGTTTTTTTTTTTTGACTTTTATAACTTGTGCAAAAAAGGGAAAATTGTATGTGAGATGAATGAACTGCTAGAGATAGAGAAAGAAAGAGAAAAGGTGCGAAGAAGCTAAGACTCAAAACATATAATATAAATTTACACTTCATACACATATAGAGTATACTCAAAAAACCACGTCAAGTTATTATCAAACGTAAAACGTGATTAGCTTATGACCATCATTCAACGAAGACATTTGTCGATAACTGACATAATTACATCTATTGCAGATAACACTTTAAACATTACCCTAACTCATTATTATTATACTAATTTTGATCATGTTACAATCATTTTTTAATTTTGGTTTTACATTTTGGTAAATATAAATTCGCCCTTTGATTTGTAACTTGTATCAAAACTAGTAGTAGTATTTAATTCACGCTTGATTAACTTCTTTTTATAATTATAAAAAAAACTTAGTTTAAAAATATAATTTAAGATTTAAGCGACAACTAGGCTTAAACATCTTTAAAGCAGAGATGGGTTGTCACTCCTAGAAGCGCTTCAAACTCAAAATTTAATTTATAATATTAAATTCTATTTGAAATTCCTACATTATGCTTTTAAATCTCTAGTACTTAGTTTTCAGAAGCTATTTTCAAATTAAAAGCTTCTTTGAAGAAAAATTGTGCAATAAAGAAAGCAAAGGATTATTAAATTCAAATAGAATTTTTTTATTATAAATAATTAAGGCTGCAATTTAAAGAAATTTAACGAATGATTTTTATGTCTGTGTACGAGTGCAATTTTAATATTGTACGATTATTCAATTATTCATATATTTTACAGCTTAGCATTTTTTTTATATTTAAACTTGGACTTTACTGGTAGCGATAATTTTTATTAAACTAATCAAAGTACTCAGTAATTTTCAAGTTTTCATTTGTCGATAGTAAATTCTCTTATTTTTTTTTCAATTGTATTTAATTATTTTAATTTTTAAATTAAATTATTAAATTTAATTTACAATCGACAAATTTAAACTTAGTTTTAGAGAAACAATATTGGTTTCGCGACGAAAAATATGTTTTTTTGAGAAAAAAATTATGTATATTATATTTATTGTATTTATTTAATTTACTTTTGTCGAAATTGATTGGAATTTAGAAAAATTGGATTTAAAATTCAATCAAAAAAAAAAGTATTTTGAAAAAAAAAATTAACCAAAGTTAAGGCCCATGTGCAGTTTTATATATACGAAAAAGAAGTCGTCGCGAAACATAAATGCAGTTTCAAGATATTCTTTTAGTTAAATGAGCGTTTGAATGATTCGGGCATCTCGTCAATACATTTTGCATGTATTTTTTTTTTTAAGAGGAGTTTCAAAAACTCCACTATATTGCCAAGTGTACTTATTTTCACAGACTGACATTCTTAATGCGCCAACAACACGTTTTTTTTTTTTTTACAGAGATCTTATTTTTTGAAAAACAATTTTTATTTACAAATTTAGAGCCAAATTGAACCGTAAAAATTCAATTCGTTCTTTTACACTAAAAAAAAATTTTCAAAATTAAATTTCTTCTGCTTTTCTAAATTTTTTTATATAATTAAAAATCTATGTGTTGTTGATGAAATTCCAGTGAGATAATGGAACACTCATAATTGTAAAAAAAAAAAAAAAAAAAAATTTCATAATGAGATTATATAGACTGTAAGAGAGAGAGAGTTTTCTAATAGAGATAGGAAAACTGGAACAAAAGTATCTGTATTAGCCAGGTTGAAGATGGTTTCCGGTTAAGATATGCTTATTTTAGCCGGCAGAGGGGAAGGGCAATCGATTTGCAAAATTAGCTTATAGGTATTCTATAATTCGTATATGTGTATTTTATAAAGTAGCATTGAATAGAAAAAAGAAAAACAATTCTCGTAGGCTTCAAAAAAAAAAAATTAATAATAATAATAATAATTAAAGGAGAAATAAAATGGAAAAAAAATGTATATACTACAACGGATAGTAAGCCTTTGTCCGACGTAATCACACATACATCATGCATCACATTTATTTGTATTCTATTTATATACACATCTGTTTTAATAATTAAATGAAATCAATTCTGATAATTTTTGACTTTTTTTATATTCTACCATTGATAATAATTTATCAAAAAAAATTTAATTCAATTACCTATTTTTACATTTATTTGATGACAACCGTTACCATAACAACCATTTCCATGGCAACCGTTCTCATAACAACCGTTTCCATAGCAACATAGTTACTATAGCAACCGTTTCCATAACAACCGTTTCCATGCCAACCGTTTCCATAGTAACCGTTACCATAGCAACCGTTTCCATGGCAACCGTTATCATAACAACCGTTTCCATGGCAACCGTTATCATGACAACCGTTTAGATAGCAACCGTTTCCATAGTAACCGTTACCATATCAACCGTTATCATAACAACCGTTTCCATAGCTACAGTTACTATAGCAACCGTTTCTATAGCAACCGTTTCCATAGGAACCGTTACCATAGCAACCGTTTCCATAACAACCGTTTCCATGCCAACCGTTATCATAACAACCGTTTCCATAGCAAAAGTTACTATAGCAACCGTTTCCATTGTAACCGTTACCATAGCAACCGTTTCCATAGTAACTGTTTCCATAGTAACTGTTTCCATAGTAACCGTTTCCTTAGCAACCGTTTCCATAAGAACCGTTTCCATAGCAACAGTTACTATAGCAACCGTTTCCATAGTAACCGTTACCATAGCAACCGTTTTCATGACCATTTTTTTCCTTAGCAACGGTAATATCAATATTGTCCACGAAACTCTGCGATGAAGGCGCCATGTGCCAGTTTCTCTCATATTTTTTAAAAATGTGATTTTTGGATTCCTGAGATCGAAAATCATAAAGATACATAAAAAATAGAGTTCGAGAAATAAAATTTTTATAAATTTCGAAACTATATAAGAATTTAGAGCTTGTGCTTTTATTATAAAATATTAAGAAATTATTGATGTTAAAAATCCTATCTCTGCAAACATCTGAAAATAAAATTTAACATCTTTTTTTAAAATTCAAAATTTTGAATGTTCTAATAATGTGAATAGAAAAATGGTGATGAATTATTTTAAATCTTATATACTTTAAAATGAAGAGAAAAACCGGAAGAGTTGATATTTATTTAGGATTGTTATCTTTGTTTGAAATCGCTTGGCACAGCTATATATATAGGTGTTATCATTAAAAGGTGATTAGTTGGGTTACAGACCCTCCATGGTTGATGTGACTGCCCAAACAAGTGAAAAGATAATTATATACAATATGCTTTGTCCCTTATATACCTTATGAGATTGTTAAATATATAATCTATTAGAGTACCGACAAATTATACCTAGAACTCATCTCGAATAATAGATTTGTAATTCGTAATCTTTTTTCGAGTTTAGCTGATATCTTATGCTATGTTTATACGCTTTTTAACATATGTAAATTGATAAGAACATTTTAACAGAAAAAAAATAGAAACTCAATTAGTAAAAATCTAAATGCTTTTAGGGAAAATGTTCATTACAATTGAGTCGCATATTTCTGCAGCCCTATTCGTTGGCCTCTGTACTGAAAAAACTATATTCTAAACTTGAGAATATCTTCTTGGCGCCTATTTAAGAATATTTCCCATGTATTTTATTCTTAAAGTTATAGAATAAAATTAATGCATGGGATATATTCTTAAATAGGCGCCAAGAAGATATTCTTAAATTTAAAATATAGTTTTTTCATTGTGACATCTCAAAAAAAAAAATAATAATTTAAAAAAATTGAAAAATAATAAAAAAGCAAAAACTAGTATTTTGACACGGACATTGTCTTAGGGATATCCTGTGGATATCCTATGGATGTCCTGTTGATGTCCCACAGACTGGCGGTTTGGATATCCTAGGAATATCCCAAGATATCCTGGGGACCATTCTAGGATATCGACCATTGATATGGATATCCTTTTGTTACACGGAGAGACCGCCAGTTGGAAAAATTACTAAAAAAATTTACAAGTAGCGGAAATAAGGTTACATTGTCAAATATTGCTGTAGGAAATCGAAAATTCTACTAGCAGCATACTTAATAAAACCTGTAGACTATAGTAAAATTGTACACAAATTGGAATAGAAATTACTATAGTCTACAGTTTTATTAAGTATGCTGTATGACAAAGTAACCTTATTTCCGCTACTTGTAAATCTTTTTAGTAATTTTTCCAACCGGCGGTCTCTCCGTGTATGAGGGCAAGAACCAAAATTGCCTAACCAAACAATTTTGTTGCAAACACTAAATTTTTTTTCACAGGGTAGATTTATAAATTTGATTTTTCTTCACAACAAAATAAAATACAATAATAAACCTTTGGTTTGCTTTTACCGTGCACTATGTCAAGAACTGATTTCGTTTGCTAGATTAACGGATTAGCAGTGCCACCTTCTCTACGACATATTGTACTACAATGAGAAAAAAAATTTAGTGTTTGCAACAAAATTGTTTCATTAGGCAATTTTGGTTCTTGTAACCAAGTTTTGGTTGGCTGAAACAAAGTCATAGAGTTATCTCAACCAAACATTTGGTTAGGCCAACAAAATTATTTGGTTGAACATTTTTAAATTGCAACCAAAATTTAGTTACGACAACAAAATAATTTGGTTAACACAACAAAATAGTTTAATCTAAAAAACCAAATGATCGTTTGTTGTCCTAACCAAAATTTGGTTGCGACAACCAAATAATTTGATTCGCTCTCAGTTCATAGCTTAAGAGAACCGTTAGTTTAAATCTCTCACAAGAATGGGTAGTCCAGTGGTCAGAGCTTCCGATCTTCAGTTTTAAAACAGAGGTTCGATCCCAGGCGGAGATGAGATTTTTCAACATCCACAAATATTTCAATTAGATAAATATAAATTCAATGTTAAATTGATAGTAAATAAATAATGAAATAAATAAAAAAGATAAAAAGAAAAGAAATAAGGTAGAATAAAATTTTTAAATTTACAAAAAAAATTGTTTGTTTGATCAACCAAACATTTTTGTTGACCTAACAAAAAAAATTTGGTTGTGCTAACCAAAAATTTTTGTTGACCTAACAAAAAAAAATTGGTTGAGCTAACCAAAAATTTTTGTTATTCCAACATAAAACACTCAACCAAATTTTTTGATTGACTCAAACAAATAGTTTGGTTGCTTAAATACCAACAAAAATTTTTTGTTGTCCCAACCAAATTTTGGTTGTGCTGACTAAACATTTTTCTCAGTGTAATTTTCTTCAGTCAGGATCCTAGACAGGGCCTGGCTAATTCCTAGACAACCTAGTATAGGAACTTGTACTAAATTTTAAAATCAGTGTCCTATATAGACAAATTTTAGCCTGATTCTAGACAAGCATTCATATCAAAGAAAATAAAGGGAAAACTGTACATTTACTTTTCGGGGCCAGGACAGTTTTTTCAGAATAAATTTCCACGACAAATACTGTCTATTTCTAGGAAGGCCACAATAAATTTCTACACGGGATGTAATTTATATAAGGGACGTTCCACATTAGACGGACTATAAAGCTTTGTCCAAAATTGTACGCAATATATATAAATAAACGTAAAATATATGAAAAGGTTCATACACATGTAAACTTTCAAAAAATGAGTGGCAAATTAAAAAATTTATAATAATATGCTTTTATTATAACAATTATCCGCCACTTTGAATTTTGAAAAATGATATCAGATTCTTAATTAGCGATCCCAAAAACCTCCAGATAACGAGTTTCAAACAAATTGAACGAATTTTATTAAATTCGGCTGACATATTGGATCCGCCATTTTGAATCTTTTAATTTTGACTTCAGATTCGTAATCAGCGACTCTGAAAACCCCCAAGTAACAACTTTCAAGCGAATTAGACGAATTTTTTAATTAGGTCGCCATATTGGATCCGCCATTTTGAATTTTTTAATTTTGACTTCAGATTCGTAATTAGCTACCCCGAAAACATTAAAAACATCTTTTACTAGAATTTAATATTTTTATCCTTAAATTAGAAATTTTATTACTTACGAATTTACATTTATGGTATGGTTTATAATTGTCATAACAAAAGCATTATTATAATTTTTTTAATTAGACACTCATTTTTTGAAAGTCCCAAGCCTTTAGTCATCCATATTTGGTCTATTTGGACTAGGGGAACTTTTTTTTAAATAAATAAAAATTAAAATACGTATATTAACTTATTTTTTGCATATCTGAACGTGAATGTTGCTACAGAATTGTTATGTGTATTTTACGAAATAGGGTTTTTAAGTTTTATGTAAGTTCAAATTTAAATTGTACTACAAATAGTATATATGTATCAAAAATTATAGAATTTAAATATTGAAAGTTAAATTAAATTTTAATTTTAAATATATTATTTGAAAATAATTTTTGAAAATGCTGTAAATTTTTTAAAATCAAAAAAGTGATAAAAATTTAATTTTTAAAAGAAATATTTTTTACTTATTCACCTAATCGCACAAAAAAAAGAAGAGAATTTGAGTGATAATTCGGAGAAATAGATAAACTTTTTTGGTTTGTCGGTCCCACAAAAATTCTCTATCTCAAATACAATAAAGGGACGCACGAATAAGTTCTAAAAACTTATTACTAAAAATAGGTCGAAATAATCTAAAATTTTTCTATACAGGCTTCAAAGATTATAGAGTGTTAATTAAAAATTTTTAGAAATAACTAAATTTCACAAAGAGTTTTATATATTGAAAAGCTTAGAAGTATATAATTAAATTTTTAAATTAATTTAAATTAAAAATTTTATAAGTAAATGCCCTCAAAGCACCAGATATCCTAGGATATCCCAGAATATCCTCAGTATATCCCCAGGATATCCCAAAAATATCCTACGTAACGGCGGTTTGGATGTTCTGAGGATATCCTAGGATATCCTATGGACGTTTTCAGGATATCCTACATTAGTTTAGAATATCCTGAGGATATCCTTTTGGTGTGAGGGTGAATTTAAAAAAGAGTCAAATTAAAATTTCTAAAAATTTTAATTGTAGATTTGATAC